ACGCTATCACAAATTGCTCTTGTTAAAGATGAGCAGATGATTTGTGAATTATTAAATATAAAAATGGTTTTGAGACATTTGGCTGAGCAGGAGTTACATGAGCGGCCATTTTACAGAAAAGAGGTGACAAAAAGTTGAACGTGATTCCAACCATAGAGGCGGACAGACGCAGAAACCTGGTACCAAATGAACAGGCTCGTAGTACTGCTCACTGTGGGGGTGGACGGGTGAGTGAGACCGGAGGAAGACTGAAACGCTGATTTGTACACACGGTTTCATTCATACAAGGCGGCGCCATTTTGCTCTCACCCGCCAGACGTGGAGCGTCTCTGCATGTGAACGCACCACGCGTGTTGTCGAGCCGCAGTGGGCCTTTGCTTTCCCCCACGTTAAAACGCACAAGTCACCTTTGGTTTTACGTTTATTTAAAGTTCTTAGAATGGAGGCCAATGAGAGTCCCACTCCAAGCACACGCAACAGTGTCAACAGAAAAACCAGGCGCTCTGCTGCAGATTTGACCTCCACCTTGAGGCTTTAACTTTGTCTACTCTGGTCCTTGTTGCTGGTTTTATTTCTCCAACTTGTATACTACAAATCCACATAAACTAACTTATTATTTGTCTACGACACTCCAACGGAGCTGCACCCTAATTTTTTTTCCTTGTTTTTGGTGCATTCAGGCAGCAGAGCGGACACCTAAAAAGGGGCCCAAGAATGGATAATTTAGTTCTGATCGTATAATCAGAAAAATCACCGATTAGTTTTAATGTTAGCGTACATTTAAAGCCAACAACTCATTTGTGATGTGTTGGTAAGCTACCCGATTGGTGTTCAGACACACACACACTCGCTCATACACACACACACACACAATCCAAATGGCGGTGCAACGTTCATCTGTATCTGTGCCAAAGGTTACAGGCACGAATGATGAGCAACAAGTTCTGATCCATAATGCAGGTAAAAAAAATCCACTCAGGCCCAACTGCTTGGTTAAAATAATTACTAAAAAATTCATCTATTTTACATAAAAAATTATTAAGAAAAAATACAATTAAACAAACTAAAATTTACAAAAAAGCCCACCAAGTTCATAAAATAAACACAATTCGACATTTTATTTTGAAAAATCCTCTCCACTTATACAAAACCTAAAATTTGACAAGGAAAACAGCCAACACTCCACATTTAACGTGAACGCAACATATCAGCAACACAACTACACAAACCAATTTACAACCAGAAATTGTGGAAACCAAACACTGACTGGAGCCATTTGGATAAAAAAGGGGAAAAAAAATGCTGTCTGTGTGCAATTAGTAATAATTATTCAAAGATGAATGCATTAAGTCATCAAGAGAAAAACAGCACAGTTTCACAGCATGCATTTAAATAGTATAAGCACTTAAAGCAGGAGCTGAAACGTGTTCAAATAATYTTGTTCACAATATTAACTCAAAAACAAACTTGGTTCAGTCTGCACCACCCAACTAAAACCAGCTTTTCAAAATAATCTCAGAAAATCAACAGTTCTCGCCCAGCAGGCACTGACAGCGGTCACAGCTCAGGTCCTCAGCCCGACCACGTTAACACCAGCAAACAGAACCAGCTTAAACACCTGCATTTCACCTAAAAACACATGTGGGCTTTAAGCTGTTTTTTTTTGTTTGTTCCAATAAAAACTCTTAAGAGTAGGAACTGTGCCCAATTAAATTAAAAAAAGGAGGAGTAATAAAAGTGCTTAAGGTTTTTCAGTACCTTTGCTTCTTGGGGACGGAGTGTTCAACCTCAATACGTTTTCCGTGAAGTTCCACTTTACCTGAGAGAAAACGGAAACAAAACGAGGAGGGGGGTTTCAGTACATCTGGTAGCTACATGCTAACAGTTAGCTTCACAGGCCTGGAGAGGCTGAGGGTGTAGACTCCTTCATGGTTCTTAAACTTTAAACTTCAGCTCGGACTTAAAAAATAGATTTAGCCTGACAGGAACGTGTTTATTGGGTTTACAGCGTGATTAAAAGTGAAATACTCCCACGTCACACAGCTAAAATACACACTTTTAGATACATGGTGTAAACACACATTGGCCCTTATTATTGTCAAAATATCGGATTAGAAAACGTAGAAACAGGAGRATTTTAAACAAATATCAGGATTCACGCTGAGGCAGCAGGGCCACATGTGACGACACCCCCCCAACTCACGTCACGTAGGAAATCAAAACTGGGCTTACGAAGCTGCTTTCACTGGCAGAACCGAGCTTTTTGGACCTTTCTGTTTGGGGAGGACATGTCTCTTTGTCATGGTGGACTGTCTTCTCTAAGTGGGGGAGGGGGAGCAACAAGGCTTCTTAATTATTTAATGCAACCATGAACGAATTTTTTTTTTTTTGTGTGTGTGATTAAATGCTAATTTTCTTACCATACAGCTATATTTATAATGTGTCGCTCCCCGCTCCTGCAAAAGTTAAAAGACTCCCCTGGGTGTAAACACACACCCCGAATTCATTCAACAGCATGACTGAAATAAATAAATATATTTGTGATGCAGAAGGCTCGGAGGTGGACTGGGAGGCAAACTGGGGCAGTACCGCTGACAGGGAGCCACCAGTCCCGGGTGTTCAGGATGAATGGACCTGCTCTGTCCTCGTCAACTCACCAGAAAACGTCTCGATGGCTTTCATAGCCCAGTGGTCGTCGGGACAGTCCACGAAGGCATAGCCGTTCTTCATGAGGAACTGTCCGGAGTACGGGATCTTATGGTCCTCAAAGGTCTTGATCAAGTCCTCGGCGGTCACGTTGTCGCCCAGATTCCCAATATACAGCTTGTGCATGGCGGCGGAGAGGGCTTTTCGGCTTAGAAATAATAAAAAAAAATAATGAGGAGGGGGGAAATGAGTAAAAAAAAATATATTAATGAAAAAAATTAACCCGAAAAGAAGTACAAAAAATTATTAAAATAAAAAGTTTCGTAGCAGAAACGAGATGCCACACTTCAAAAC